CTTCTCCGATTTCGGCAATTCAGTGAATTTTGATTTATCTTTGACGCAGGAAATCCGCGGAATTCCAGAGCATCATCGTCCTATGATTGCTCCGTCATTATACTCTGCAAAGTTTGGCCATGTTGATTCTGCAAGAACGTTATTCACAGATGGATCTCTAATAGAGGAGTCCGCTGGTTTTGGTGTATTTAATGAATTTCATAGCGCCTCTCAAAAACTTGAAGCTCCTTGTTCTGTGTATGTGGCTGAACTGGCAGCAATTCACTACCCTTTGATAACTATTGCTTCACTTCTTGCAGACCACTACTTTATTTTTACGGATAGTCTCAGTTCTGTCGAGGCTATACGTTTCATTAGGCCGGTAAAGCACTTCTCGTATTTTCTCTTGAAAATACGAGAGCTGCTTAGTGCTTTATCCGTGCACTCTTTCATCACCACCTTCGCGTGGGTCCCTTTGCATTGCTCAATTTTGGGCAATGAGAAGGCGGATTCACTTGCGAAGGTGGGCGCTATGGAAGGTGACATTTATGATCGACAAATCGCCTATAGTGAATTTTTCTCTATTTATCGTCAGCAGTCACTCGTTAGCTGGCAACATCAATGGAGTGAAGGGAGCTTGGGACGATGGCTAAATTCAATTATCCCTAAGGTGTCGAAGTTTGCATGGTTCAAAGGGTTGGACTTGGTTTGGGACTTCATACGCGTGATGTCTCATCTCATGTCCAATCACTATTGTCTGAACGCTCACTTGTTCCGTGTGGGGTTGGAAGACAGCAATCTCTGTGAATGTGGACAAGGTTACCAGGACGCTGATCACATCCTTTGGTCTTGTGCGGAGTATCGTGGAGTCAGATCACATTTTTGTGATTCCCTTCGGGCTCGAGGTAGACAACCTAATGTTCCAGTTCGTGATATTTTGGCTAGACGCGATCTGGAGTTTATGAAACTCATATATGTTTACTTTAAGGATATTAACCTAAGATTGTAAGTTTGATTAACCTTGGGCTTAGTTTGTAATTTGTACGTGTGGGTTTTTTTTCCAATGTTTGTTTTCAAGATGAATAGAAATAATTTCATGCTTTAGAATTAATTAAATAGTTGTATCGTAAACCACATTTCAAACCTTCTTCTTGCCTTTTCCCATCCAAAAAATTGTAAATCTCCACTAACCTCGAGACAACCGCGAGTACTCGGTCCAGTTCCTTTAACCTTAAATATAAGACAGTAATAATGTATAACGGAAAGGATAACTTGGCTCTGTAAGGTTTATTCGATTGAGCCTGTACAAATAAAGTAATTATATAAAATAAAATAAAAAAAAAACAAACAAAATTAATCAGCCTACTGTTTATTTAGGCAAGTCAAGTAACAAAACAGAAAATCTATAAAGAGAATCGGCCATCGAAGTTAGACCCTTATGATTTTAGAAATGGTCCACTAATTTCGACTACAAAACAGTGTCTTTAGTAAATTATATATCTTGATACAACTTGAATATAAAATTGGTTCTTATATTTCAGATGCAATGATGATGGTTTTCAACGAGCAATATTGGACAACAATCTGGATGAGGCTAATCAAAGAAGTAGAAAACATTAACGATTAATTAAATATGTTTTGAGCAAGCATTGTAAAATTTAAAACAGGAAAAGAAATCCAAGATAAATTAATAAACAACTACTTTCCATTCTCCCTCATTACATAACAGAAAGATCAAAGTTGTATGTAGGCTAACTCAAAAATATTAGCTCAAAATAGTTTGCTATATATTAACAATATTAAAAGAATATGTTTTTATCCTAATAGCTAACGAAAACTGCAAATGAGCTAAGATACATACTCAAAATATCACTCTAGTTAAAACAAAGTTGTCTTCTTCAGGCAAACATTGTTGCATATTTCGAAAACGGGTTTGGCGAGTTATTAACGAAAAACATAGTTTCTTTTTTTATTATTAAAAGTGTTCTATACATAATGCTACGAAGGACATACAGCGTTTTACAAAGCATAAGGATTCATCTGATTTTTCGATTTATTAATAAAAAGGGACAAATGGCAGTAAACTGTCAAGTTCATGAAGCTACAACAATAAAATCAATCATGTATGGCTAACTGATTCCAGTTAATTGTAAAATTGACATTATTATACATAAATAACGGTGCATAGTGCGTTGAATGCATGAAAGAACAAACCAAAACACGTAACTTAAAATTGTCATCGATTATCTCTGGAATGACTTACAGAAAGTTGTTTTATGCTACGAAGTGACATCATCAAGCTAACTCGGAGGAGCGAGAATTACATAATTGCTGGTGACCTGAACGCCAAACATCAAGCGTGGGGAAAAAGTTGCCGCAACCAAAACGGAACTCCCACCCGGTTGAGTCGGACCTGTGTTAACACTACCAGAGTGTTAACATTTGACTATCGACAAATCGGCATGAATGACCATAGAAGTTACCATGAAATTTCAAAGCACACTGCTATCCCATATTCGTCTGTCCCCATATTCGCGGAAAACGTTTAGCTAAGTCATTAACCTGCGTGAAATATTTATGAGTTGATTCGTGTCTGATATATTCTGGACAAATAATTTCTTTCTATCCTGCAAGAGAGGGAGGTGGCTGCCAAATACGAACAATCGTCGCCTACCTCGCATAACTGGTTCCAAACAACGAAAAGCCTCAAGCAACGATGGTTTGTTGATGTTTGAAACCAAATTCACATATGGAAAATCAATGAGCGTAAATAGGTAAGGTCCAGTTCTGCCATAAATAAGAAATTGGCTAATATGCCATTTTTGTCAAAATCGAGAAAATGGTGTTACTTGATAGGTGGCACTATTGTCAAGTCCCCACTGCACAAAATTTATAAATCAAAATGATTTACGGTTGTGATTACGGCATCAGGTTGTGAATCCGATGATTCAGGTACAAAAACTTGTTTTTGTTAAACTTTTGCAATTAAATTTTTCGGTTTTTGCAGCTTATCACAAGAGTTTTTATTAAAATGTATTACGGAATGGATGTTTTCATTTATTTGTGTCAGCTTTATTCATGCATAATAAATGGAAAGGAGAACGGAAATATAAATGGTAAATATAAAAAAAAACCCTATAAATAACAATTTTACGATTCTTCATCAGATTTGTCATCGTGGGTTGTAAGGTTATACCAATACATTTTTCGCGAGGAGGCAACAAGGGTACATTTTTTTTAAATATATTGCTTACGTGTAAGTTTGTTAACAATGTAGCACAAAGGCTCTGCGATTTTTCAGATGGTATCTGAACACTTTCATTAGTGGTTCGTATTGTTGTAAATAATTTAAAGCCACATCTAGCAGGAATTCACATCGCACGTTAGCCAAAACAGGTGATCGTTTGACAAATTTCCCCAGCTTAGTAAATGAAAAAATGGCTACAGTGATTAAAAATAAGTATTTAAGGAAATTGGCTAAATTTTTATTCGTTTATATTCAACGGCATGTTTCCGGCATAGGAAAATAAAGTTATGAACATTTAAAAACGGAGCCTCATAGCCTAGTCAGTAAAGGCACGGTATAACCAAGCCGGAGGCGGCGGGTTCGGTTCCCGGTCCGGTCGAGGGAATCTTTCGGGTTGGAAATTTTCTCGACTTCCCTGGACATAGAGTATCATTGTGCTTGCCACACAATATACAAATTCATGCATTGGTATTGGCATCGAAAGCTCTTAATTAATAACTGTGGAAGTGCATTTAGAACACTAAGTTGAGAGCACGCAATAAGCTAATATGCGCTAAGCAATAAGCTTGAAATGCGAATAAGAAGAAGAAGAACATTTAAAAACATAATTTTATCTAGTAAACCTTATTCAACAAACAAAAATGTTAAAGTTGCATTTTTCTCGATTTTGTGTTTCATGCACATTAGTCAATTTCTCATTTATGGATCTATGGGCAGAGTTGTCGTCTTTTTCGTTTTTGGCTGTTTAAATGTATGAGGAAGTTTGACGTCACACTAGTATAACCATTTAAAAATCAGGAAAACGAAAGAGACGACAAATTCCACTATTGCTGCGTTTATCCTACTGTCTTTGTCGCACTCCAAACACCGCATGACAATTTCCGTATGAATTTATACATATTTAATTTACGTCGTGAAAAAACTATTCCATTACGTGCTCCCTCTCTCTTAAATCATATTTTTTATTTATTTTATTGACGAGATTTTTAGCCCAATGGCTAGTACATCTCGTAAAATTTCTTATAGATCAATCGGTTACTCGAAGATGATTAAAAACTTCACGATTTAGTCAGCCGTTGCGTGTTGTTTGACAAAATAAAGATTGTTGGAATCAATTAATATGTTTGAAAAAACTAAAAATGGGTACAAACCGAATTCGAACAACGAACGTTCTGATTATCAAGTGTGTGTTTTCATCACTGGTATCTCAATGCTTAAGAAAATGGAAAGATTAAAGGAAAATAAGAAGCGCTCATAGTACGACAATTCGGCTGCTCACATATACGTTAGTCGGTTTTTGCTATTTTTTATCCATGCATGATTGAAAAAAGAGAAGTGAAAGTAAAAGATACGATAGGATTTTTTTTTATTGATTATTGTCGGACTCTCTTCGTCATTCGTCAGTGATGGATCAGTCAGGATGTATGGAAAAGTTTATTTTTGTACCGTGAGAATTTATTTTTGGATTTGATGGGCTTGATATAGGGATACCAGGTTCGGACATATCGGAATGCTGCACATTAGAATCATGAGTTGGTTTGTGTCATTATGAGTTGGATCGTATCGAATCGAAAAAAAATATTATTTTATCGAAAAAAAAATATTATTTTATCGAAAAAAAATATAAATTATCGAGCAAAAGTTAAGTTTAATGCCGGTGTTTGACATCGCAAAATTATCTTTACTATTACATATATAATACACCTGCTTGTAACATTACATTGTGTGAACATACATAAATTAAACGCCTTTACCATAAAATTATGTCCTTTTTCTTTCAGACTCATCCCTGTTTAGGAGGAAGATACTCTCGAGTTGGAATTTGGGGTGAAAGAGCATACTGTTCATCTGATTGACTTGGTCCAGGGTATCCTTGTTGACTTGATCCGCTGGGGTAAGCAAGACCTGCTTGACCTCCAGTAGCAATATACCCTGTAGAAACATTAAATGGAATTTGACCTTCTGGTTGGAAAATAACAGACGATCGTGATCCGGGATATCCACCTGTAAGACCAACTGAATAGCTCGAACCACTTCCCTGTGATCCATGGGGTAAACTACTATGTGATCCTACATGAACATCTTGTTGTCCTACTGAAGCACCAGAAAACAGTCCTCCCTGAAGTCTTCCTGTATATGGAGCCCCTCCAGCGGTAGGTCCTGAAGGTCCACTAAGACCTAAGCTTGTTTGAATGCTTGTAAATACGTCTGATGATTGCCGGCCCGCTTCTGGATTGTTATACAGCTTTGTATTTTTTTCAAACAATCCTGGTGCACTAGCACATTCAAATTGGTTCCACCACACACATACAAAATGCTCCTGGCTAAAGATGGTGCCATTGGGGCACAGGAAATTAAAAGTTTTGTTTAAAGCACATATGTGGAATACTTGGCACTGAGTCTCAATATCAGCATAATATCCGGGGTAAAGTTGTTGATTACAATCGAATGATGTCTCTGGTATTACTGAAAAAATTGGATAATCTACACCTTGTTCACCAGGAATAGCAGAATAGCTTCCATCTTCGTATTGAACATCATTGGTGGAACTAGGTCTACTAAAAAAGTCTGCAGATGGTCCAGTCTGATGTTGTTTCATGGAACTGATACCCTCAGAAGGACGTTGCTGACCTTCACTGGTTGAAAGAAATCCAATAGTAGGAATAGCACTGTTTCCTGGGAAGCTGGGAGCAGCGCCTATGGAATGGAATCCGGTGCCTCCGACAGAAGATGCTCCCGATCCTGTGGTACCTACAATAGGGTACTCAGCACTTCCTGTTAGACCCGCTGCTCCTGATTGTGCAAAGTTTGGCCCAGACGGTCGTCCAGAAGGATAAACGGTACTTCCAAGTTTATAAACTGGAGGAGATGATCCTGTCACGCTACCAAAACCAGAAGACGAAGGGTAATCCGAAGTTCCAGCGAAACCAGTTAGACTAGTACTTGCAATTCCTAAACTGAGATCTGGTCTGTCGTAGTTATATCCATTCTGAGCCTGCAAAGAATTACATAACAAGAATTACGTTTGATAAACATTATGCAATGCAACACTAACCCAGTTCACTCGGCAGATGGCACAGAATGCTGTAACGTTTGAGAATTATAAAAAAAAAAACATTATTTAATATATTTTTACCGAAAGTTTAAGTAATGTACATATGACAATTTCAGAGATGAACTAGCCTTCGGCTAAAAATCCCTTAATAAAGAAAAAAAATATGAAAATTCATTTTTTTATGAACGTGTGTAAAAGTATGGTTCAAATATCGATTGTTCTCCTCCACACTCAATCGATACTAGATCATTCTCCCAAATCTTGATCTCATTTGGATAACAACTCATACTGACGTTTATATGATATTCTCAGCGTTCTATCACTTCGCCATAATGATTTTCGGAACAGCTTGATATCTGTTCTTATGTGAAATTCTATCTAATTCTATATTGATTTCTTTTTTTCCTTGATTTGTTTTCCGTTGATTCTTGTTTTTGTAGCTTCCACACCTGGACCCTACCTATCGACCCATCAACTCATGAACCGGGGGCCAACGGCAGAGATGTTATACCTCAGAACATCCCGGCGGCGCCGACTGGGATTTAACACGCATACCACTACACCACAGGCGCCGCTTATTAATTGATTTCAAAGCCGATAACTGTTTCAGGTCATCATCAGTTGGGAGCATTACAAACTCCAACATCGTGATGTTACGCAGTGTATGAACTGCCTCTCCTATGGCCATGGTACCAAAAACTGCCATATGAAGTCAAACTGCGGCAAGTGTGCTGGAACTCACTCAACTGCGTCCTGTGAGCAAGTTGATGATATGTGTCAACTGCGGTGGAAACCACCAAGTCTCCAATCGCGGATGTCCCAAGCGAGTGGAATTCATTAATATCCGTCGGAAGGTTACAATCAACAACCAGCTCGGTCACCTCCGTAATCATCGTTCGCCTCCTGTACTCACGGAAGTCCAGTACCCAGCTCTCCAGCCCCGTAGACATGTTCCGAACCTAGTCCCGCTTCCGCTCAACAACCAACAAGCCAATCCTGCGAGTATCCAAATGGTTCCCAACAGTCGAACAGTTCAGCATTGTCTCACTGCTGCGGCGGTCCAGCCAATTCCAGGTTCATCCACGGCCCCTGGTTTATCATACGCTGGTGCTGTCTCAGGTGAACCTGTCGACGATTCTTCGTTCACCTCGGAGGAACTTGTGACGCTCGTAGCCGAGGTCATCATCATCATACGCACCTGCAAGACTCAATCTGAACAGCTACATGCTGCCCTGTCCCTTGTATGGACCGTGAAGCCATCAAGATCGTAAATTGGAATGCTTGCTCCTTGAAGAGCAAAAACATCGAGTTTGTTGATTTTCTCAACGAACTGCATATCGACATAGCCGTCATCACCGAAACTCACTTGAAACCCGAGCTGAACGTCTTCCTTCCCGACTTTCGACTCGTAAGGCTTGACCGCACCAGCTCCGGGGGAGGAGGAGTGGCCATCGCTGCGAGACAGAACATCTGCTGCCGGCTACTACCAAGCTTCCAACTGAAAATTATCGAAGCAATCGGAGTTGAGGTGAGCACATCGCTTGGTCCAATCACCATCATCGTGGTCTACTGCCCCAAGCAAACCAACACTAGGAACGGCTCGGCCACAGACCTCCGAAGAGACATTATCAAGCTAACACGACGGCGGCAAAATTTCGTCATCGCTGGCGACCTGAACGCCAAGCATCAAGCCAGGGGCTGTAGTCGGTGAAACCAGAACGGCACAATCTTATTCAACGATCTGCAGGAAGCCCACTACAACATCCTGTGTCCGGACACTCCCACCCGGTTGGTCGTTCCGGAGCTCATGCCACCAACGACATATTCATTAGCAACATTGGCGATAACATCTCTAAACCTAAATCTATCGCCTATCACGAACTGAGCACGGACCACTATCCGATGGTGGCTGAAGTAGGTCTCTCGGCCAATAGGTTTCAATTATCCCGGCGAAATTACCATCGTGTCAACTGGCAGCAGTATCAGCGCTGTGTGGACACAGCAATCGATTACGACCTCCTACCAGAGTCGTTCGAAGAAGTCGATCAGTATCTGCAAACCATCGAAGAGGCGAAGAAGCGGGGTGTCTGCAAACCATCGAAGACGGGCCAGGGAGCTACACGTACCAGCATCCAGACAGGTGAGTCATACTCTGAACCTTGACAGCCCAACCAAAGATCTAATCAGGCTCCGTAACACCATTCGCAGGCAGTTCCAGCGTTCTGGGGTGCCCTACTTGAAGACCAATGTCAATAGGCTAACCAAAATTATCCAGGCCAGGATGGTGGAACTCAGAAATAACGATTTTGACAACAAGGTTCGCAAAACCATTTTGGAAGATGACCAAATGTTTTAAAAATAAGTCGTGACCAATCCTTCCGCTTTCCTCTGTTCACCAGAACTTTGACCCATCCCTACTCATAACCCCAGTTGAAAAGGCCAATGCTCTTGGTCAACATTTTGTGATTTCACATAATCTTGGCCAAACCATGGTGAACCCCCATGGGCCTGTCGTACTGGAGGCAATGTCTAGACTCACTGACACTGATAGTAGAATATCGGCTGATGAGGTGATAGCAGCTATTAGAAGCACTAAAAATATGAAGGCTGCGGGTATGAATGGTGTAGTCAACCTCGAGTTGAAAAACTTGAGTATTGACTTCTTCAACCATCTTACTCTTATCTTCAACAAATGTTTGAAGCTTGGCTACTTCCCTGCATGCTGGAAGTTATCCAAAGTGATTCCAATACATAAGCCTGGCAAAGATCCTACTAGTGCCAAAAGCTATCCCATCAGCTTCTTGTCCTCCATCTCGAAGCTATTCGAAAAGTTGATACTCAGCCGTCTGCTGGTGTTTTCAAATGATAACATGATAAATAACAACTTTCTCAAAGAGCAATTCGGGTTTAGGAAGGCCACTCTACCATCTACCAACTCGCACGGGTTACTAACATCATCAATCGGAATAAGTCCGTTTCCAATACATCTGCCATGGCATTGTTGGACGTCGAGAAGAGGTTCGACAATGTCTGGCTTGATGGTCTAGTTTACAAGCTGCATCGATACAACTTTCCGATCTACCTCGTAAAGATCATAAAAAACTACTTGTCAGGGCAGATCACTTCAGGTCTACCTGAACAATGTCCCCTCTGATACTTTCAATGTTGATGCAGGGGTCTGCTTGGGTCTATCCTATTCAACATTTTCACGTCAGACGTTCCTCCCCTGCTGGGTGGTGGTATCCTGTCAATGTTCGCAGATGACACCTCCATCATCTATAAGGGTCGAGTGATCCGTGCTCTCGCGAGTAAACTACAATCAGGCCTGGGTGTTCTGTCCTACTATTTCAATAGCTGGAAGATTTGTATCAATGAAGCTAAAACACAAACCATTCTGTTTCCACACTCGAATTCACCTCGACTCAAGGTCCATCTTGATAGTACTCCCATTGAATGGTCGAGTGAAGTAGTTTACCTTGGTCCCCCCATCCAAGGCGAACCAGCCAATGGCTGAAAGCCTTGTAAATAAAGGAAAAACAAATACCTTGGTCTCACCCTCGATAGCAAATTGCTATCACGATCCCATGTGGAAAAGACATCCACCAAGTGATCCACCGATAGCTCAGGTCGCTCTACCCTCTGATAAACAGGAAGACCACCCTGTCCCTCAAAAACAAGCTTGCTGTCCACAAGTAGATCATTCTGCCGGCTATTGAATATGGTATGCCAATCTGGGAGAGTTGTGCTAAGTACCACCACCTAACGCTTCAGAGGATCCAAAACAAGATCCTCAGAATGATCCTTAACAGTCCACCGCGAACTCGTTATTCTGAGATTCACCACCTGGCCGGTCTTCAAACACTCAAGGAGCGAAAGACTTTCTCGCTGGGAAGGTTCAGAGTCGCCTGTCTGCGATCAAACCACCAGATCATTCGGCAACCTAGTTTAAGTAGTTAGGTAGGGTCCTGTGCTCAAGTAGGTAGGCTATAACATTTTTAAATTCAAACAAAAACAAACCCATAAAAGGGTATCCTAATTAGCGCTAAACGCAATCATCACATTAGAATAACCAAAGATGAAAGAGCCAAAAGCTAACCGCTAACCAATTAAAATGTTAAACCAAATGTTGAAACGTAAAAAAAAAACCAGAAAATAAACGTAAATTTTACTACTTCATCCGCTCGTTAAAGCTTCGACAGCGTGGCAAGCAGAAGCAGGAGCAAATCAGGAAAAGGTGGAATTTTTCCCTCTGCTGAACATTATCGTAGTCAGGCTAGAGCGTTGCCTTTGTGAATCCGCTCATGGTGTGGTAAAATAGCAGCAGTCAGCGTGATCACCTTGATGATATCCCACGATGGGGTGGAGAGGATGTGAAATTTGTGGAGATCGAACAATTAGTCCTTTTTAGAACCACAGTTTTTTTTTTTACAGAAAGAGTATTTGAGACTGTTTTCGTTAGCGTTAGCGTTGTTATGATATACTTCGTAGATTGGATACTAGCGACACTCACGTCTCTTCTGAAATTCTCAGTTAGACTACTTTCAGGAATAATGCTGAGGAGTAAACATTGGTTCCAATCTAAACAAGAGTAACAGAAGCATGACTGTCGCTATTCCCGGCCACGCCCATCTTTACCATAACTAGGGATAGGGAAGGAAATGTTGATGTAGTACTTACTTAACGAGAGGCCACCGACTTAGCGACACCCTCATAAGTGCTACGGAGTTGGAGGGTTGGGTAGGGTATTCGGTTAGGATTCACCTCAAGTTGGCGATGCAACCAAAAGTATGTATTGTTTATTTGTTGTTTATTTAATCTCTCGATAGCCGGCTATCGAAAGAACATATTAATTTTGTTTAGTGATAATGAATTTTAAGAGTCATGATGGAGAGCTTGGGATTAAACCCATGATTTTCTGCTCAGTAAACAAAAAACGATCCCTCCAGGGTCATCGAGCATCTCAGAACCATAACGCTTCGCGACAATACAGGACTACGTTTTCGCTTGATATGCAAATAGTTTCCGAGGTTAATGTTCAATATCAAATATACAAATGATGGTGGCGATTTATTGTGCTGTGGAAGAGCTTGGGGTTAAATCCATGATTTTCTGCTCAGTAAGCAAAATCGATCCCTCGAGGGTCATCGAGCATCTTATAATCCACAGCGCTTTGAATAACTATTATTTACGATAATTACATGAAATAAATAAAATATAAACTACAAACAAAACGTGACTGCTAAAATCTCAAAAAGATATTCTCACAAATATATTTCACGCCACCAGGAATCTCAAAACCATTAGACGTTATAATGATACTCTGCACATATTAGACACAAGAAGAGGCCAAAAAGCAAGCGTCCGACACACAAAACCCGTCAAATCCACTTGCAGTCACAATCAACGATTCTACGAATCGCGAGCGCTCACGAATCATAAAACCGCTGACTGCGACACTCTGAAAGCGAAATTGACAGGCTCTATGCGTCAAACACCCGCCCTCCAATCTCCACCCGCATCCAACAGCACAAATCTCCATTACAACATCTAAAGAATTCAAAACTCCGAAAATCACTCATCTACAGCAAGTGAGTGGAAGCAACCCTGCATGCAACCACTCTTAATGATACACTTGTTCTGCCTATCTTTCTATTAGGCCTGTGGACATGGGTTAGCTTCGAAACTTCTAACCAAACTGGGTAAATTTTCAGATCACAAAAAAAAAAACTTGAAAAAAAACTTTCAAAGGTAATTACAAGTAAGATAAATATTGATTATTTTACGCGAAAACGAGCAAGTAATATTAAATCTCTTGTATCATATGCTAATGCAAATTGACTGTAACAAAAATAGTATGCTTAAATAAAATAAAATATTAATAAATTATATGCAAAATTTACAAGAAGATCATTACTTTATTGGTGAGAAGTTTTTAATAAGCCCTCCCAGTTCCTCTGTATACAGAACAAATCTGATACTATAATCAGAATTGCTCAGTCTGCATAATGCAGCCGATTGCATCAAGGAAGTTCAATTAACAACCAAGAATTAATCGTTTGAGGTATACTGAAGCATTAAGAAGGTGATATGTGTCACTATAGGAAATCATCATCGTTGCAAATATAAAGAAATTAAACATAACCCTTTGCTTCAGTACCGTCAACCTCCATGTCCATGGGGAGGGAAAAGAGTATTTGAGACTGTTTTCGTTCAAATTATACGAAACGCGACAAATGTTATTTTTTATATAACAAACTCCTCCATCTCCGTATAACGACAACCTAAAAAGAATTGACGTTAATTATTTCACCCGCCAAAAGATCTAAAAATTCAAGTTGAGAGAAAATGTGCTTGTCATGTATCTCTCACAGCTACAAAATAGTGTAAACAACAACAATGCTGCGGCTGCGAGTTTTATTGTTTCCGTCACTTTCCATAAAAAAAATCTGAAGAACAGCACAGCATTCCTGGACATGATCTGATATCGATTGTTACGAGGTAAAAATTGTGTGTGCAATTATGATGAAAATTGTATTTGTTCCAAATACGTGTTCTGTTTCAGGTTAGCGATGATTTTCAAAGAGGAAGAAATGAAGTTTACAGAAGGGTCCGAACCATCTGAATGAGCAGCAAACCTCGTAGAACGATGCCCAGTGGATGCTATTGATTATTTGTGTGATTACTTGTGCTAATAATTATGTCCAATAAAGAGTATGAATTTGTTTTTATAGGATTTAAGGTTTTCTTAAAGGAATACATTGGTTTGATGACAGGTATTCCCATGAAGCAAAAAGCAAATCAATAAAATGGGTAATTTTCATACATTTCGGAAAAAGCAAGAAGGGTACAAAATACCCATTTTTGACGTATCTGTTTAATACTCATTAATGAGTAAAACCGGTTTTACTCATTTCATGAGTTAAGCCACTTTTCTTGAAAATGAGTAAAATTTTACTCATTAATGGGTACTTTAGAGTTAGCGTGTAGCAACACGCAGCTTTTTCTTTGCACGGTTAAACGAAACACATTCGCACAGAGGGACGATACTTTAATTCAACACCAAACACTTAACAAACTTTGTTTCTTATTTCTAGGAAAGGTATATTTGCGCGCAACTCGGTTTCTACTTGCAAACTCATTTTCATTTCCATTTCCATTGACTTAAACTCGCAAACACTAATGCAAGGAAAAATAAACAGATACCTAGAGGACCGATTCTTGTAGGGTGTTGACTGCCTGGAAAATCAGGGAGTTCCATTTTAGTACTGGAAAATCAGGGAATCTTAGGGAATTTCTTTAAAAATCAAGGAAAACAATACCAAATCCTCTCTGAAAAGTAATGCTGATCGCGCTAGTTTCTTACAATTTCATTACTCGGTTTAGTTTTAGGGTGTTTGTAAATTAATAAAATCATCAATAGAATTGTGAGCTTGTGGGTGCTCAAATTAATTATTTCAATTGCTTAAAGAAACAACATAGTCTTCTCCAGCTGTACATGAATTGTATACAAATTACAGATACATTACTGTAAGAACTGTCAAAATCCTATGAATTTACACGCTAGTGTTCGTGATATTCTGAGGGACGGTCACATTGTTGTTTGTTACCAAATTCATGCACCAAGCGGGCTAGCGCATTTCTGGGTGGTGCTGTGTTTAGTTCGGTCCAACACAAATCAAACCTCTGAAAATGGGTTGGAGCGTCTTTGTGTAAATGCAAGAATGGCAAAAAGTTAAGAGACATATTTCTGAATACTTGTATTTCTAGTTCCTCATTGTGTGCTTAAGATGCGGATAAATTCGGACATTAAGCTATCCAAAGAACATTTAGAATTATGATCCTGCTTGGATGGACGAATTTTTGATTGCTTGAAGTAGCAGATTATTATTAAATATTGAATTCCGGGTTACATGGACCAAACTTTCTAATTTTGTGAAAGCACAACTCTGAATATCAAATTTTCGATTATGCTGATGTAATGAAAGTGAGGGGGCAATCCCAAGTAACCAGTAATAATCCGACTAATAATGCGTCAAAGCCCTGTATTAGTCGTATGTTGGCTTTATATAACAAAATCATTCCAAATCTGCGGGCTTATCGGTTACCTCCCAAGTAACAAATTGGGTTTTACTGTAGACCATGATTTAGACTTAAGTGCTTTAAAACCTCAATAAAACTTACAATGTTACTTGGGCTGGGATGTGTAAAACGTGTTTGTGAACGATTTCCCACCGGAGGTAAACCACTGCGATCAAGCGTTTGGTTAAACGTGTTATCCATATAAAATGTTCAACGGAGATGGGATGGGCATTGAAGTGTGCACGGGGAACATATTTTATAACGGAGGATTAAAGACAAGTGTTTCATATGCGGAAATATCCCTAACGGAAAGTCCAGAAACAGTCAGAAAAATAACTAATAAGGGTGAGGAAATTAACATCTCAAGGAAAGGAAATGGAGTAAATTGAGGAAATAAGTTATTTCTACTGTATTTTAATTCAATATCAATAAAAATGCATGAGAAGTTCACTAAACATCTCAAAGTAGTCTTCGTCAACCATGCGGTCGTGTCGTATATACAACCCCACCAATGTTTTGCCCTATTCTTCACTAAATATCCATGGATATTTAGAATGGAATGTCTGCAGACATTCAATTCAAATGCGGTCTCGAGCAAAGTTGCTGTTGAGATTTGACATTAGTAAACTTTTCCGTAGATCATTACAGCTCAGTGTTAATCGTAATTTCGAAGACACGCTAAAGAGCGTTTTCTACCACTTTGGCGGAACCAACTTTAGCTAAATAAACGACTGGGAAGAGGCGTGATTGTAACTCTAACCTCACCGCATCAACAACATCCAGCTTTCTACTGTACGCAATCAACCAGTCGTGAACTTGCTAAACCTGCCTTGTCGAACTCGAAGCTTGAGTGTTTGAAAAAAGGTAAGGGTTGTGCCCAAAGCTCGACCGCATTGTTGACGTAGAACTACGAGATTAGTTTTGCTACTCCATTCACTAATATATTATTAACAATATAAATGGTTTAAAAGCTTAACCTCATATAAGGACTGTACCGAAAATAAGTTGTAATCATTTTTTTCATTCCAAATCCATAAAAAATATTTTAAAATAAAAACAGGTTCTTCCATTATTCATGTCATGCCCTTCTTAAGAAGTAAACTTCACAAAAACAAATAAAAAGGGATATTAATGATCGTTGATTTTAACTTTTTATAAATTTTGGACAATGTGACAAAACAGTATTTTAGCACTTTTTGTACACATCGAACAATATTTTTTGAAGTAGTTTTATGATATTAGTAGCTTCAGCATCCATGTAAAAAGCTGTGAAGAAAACACATAAATTTTCATTTGTTTTGGTTAATCGATTTTAATCGAGAGTGGCCCAATTTCAGTTTACCTTGCTATTCAGCACTCCCATGTTATAAGCGTTCTAAACCTGACATTATTTCGCAGCACATTTTTTGTTGATTTGCACCCCAGTATAATACACAAAGACGCCATCAATGTTGTGGTATAAATCAATTAACAAAAAAAAACTACTTTTTTCTGTAGCTCCATCATTAGTCTTAAATTAGGGCTCTCAAGCAGAGAAGAGAGTAGGGGAGAACAGTACATAACGCACCCCCGGGATAAGACGTACTTTTTCATTTTATTTTGAGTTTTTCTTGGAACTTTTAATCCATTTCAAGGATTTATCATGCAGGATTTTGAGTTCAGATGCTATGCTAGAAGTGCTGCTTGAAAAGACAACAAAAAAGTTAAGTAAAAGCCATGAAAAACACAAATAAAAGTCAGCTGGTGCGTTCTGCCCTATAGTTTGCGTTTTATGATAACTCAACTGGCAATTGTGTTTTCCTTATCAGAAGACGGTACTTTCAATTTTGAACAAAATGTTGGTGACGTTTGAACCGAAGTAGGGGAGGAAGGGGTATAACGATCAAACGGGGTTTAAGCACCTCTTTGTTCTACAATTTAGAGGACAACTCTAATATAAAATTATCATGCATCATCAATATGTACTTTACAGCGTTCATAGAATCATACATAATGGAATACTGTGGGTTTTCTCAAATCAAACGTTTGGTTTCCAATAAGTAGGTGCTTAGTACAATATTAATTGAAAATTAGGAGGATTCAGTTATTGAATTTCAAAGCCAGAGCAAATGCTCCTATACAGGTTCTCCACCTGTTCAATATTTTTATAGAAAGCATCATAACTACGTATCAAACGTATGCGGTTCCAAAGGGTGTTCAAAAATATTTTGAATTCTCTACCTCGAGTTGAAGGACCTTCTCCAGCGTCCCAAACAGAAGATGGTGACGCATTACCTCTGACTGGTTTCAAATTGACCCGATAATACCATACTCTCTCTGCAGCGGTCTTGGGTCGTTTCGGAGAACCGTCTGCCTGACAATCCTTCGCGCGCTTCCGGGAATTTCGCATGTATTTTGCAGCCATATTTTGATACATAGCACTGATTTTCACTATTGCACAATTTCTCAACAATCACTTATTTACTAAATAACTAAATAACGGCGCCGGTGGTGTAGTGGTAAGCGTGATTACCTCTCACCCCAGCTGGCCTGGGTTCAATCCCAGTTGGCGCCGCCGGGATGTTCTGAGGCATAACATCTCTGATCACGCCTTCCTTCGGATGGGAAGTAAAGCCGTTGGTCCCCGGTTCATGAGTTGATGGGTCGATAGGTAGGGTCCAGGTGTGGGAGCTGCCTTCCTGGCACGTCGGTAGCATTGGTGCTCAGCACGGAAAACAAGATCGACGGAAAAAACAAACCAAAGGAAAAAAAAAATAAAATAAATAACTAAATAACTCAAATTATATTTATTTCTAATTGCTGATGATTGTACATTAGACTCATGCAATTTTTAACATTTTCGCTCCACAGTGCTCAAACGGTCCCAAATCGGGTCATGATTAGCCTACCAAAATTTGAACACATTTGATTAGAAACTGACTGGGCACAAATCATTTGAAATTTATATGGAAATTACTATGAAAAAACCAAACTGTTTGATCATTATCTTCTAGCCTTTTTCCATATTGCACTGTTCAAAAGTTCTATAGCTATTCTTATGAAATATTTTCTCAGTTACAACTTTGCAGAAAAAAGTTTTTAAGTCAAACTTCAATTAAAATAGTTATTCATTGTTTAAGAGATTGATAATCTTATGGCATGATCAAGCAGTTGTTTTGTGGGTAACACTGTATGCTGCACTGTGACATAGTAGCCATGATTTTAGTGCTCTATTCTACGCGCCAGAAACACCAATGTTGCCTGCTGAACAGTTGATTGAGCATAATCATAAGACATTAGTGGCTTGAATCATTAATAACTTGTGATGCTTACATTATGTCGAAAAGTGGTTTTGTAGAAAGCTGAGAAAATTTACTATGAGCTCAATTATCATTGTTTAAAGCAAAGCGATATGGTGAATTGTTAGATCGATATGAACAAAACATTTGGTTTTCCCATAGTAATTTCCTTATAAACCTTAAAAGGTTTGTTCCATATTTCTTGCCAAATAAGTTTAAATTCCAAAACCTTCGGCACATGTTAGGAGCCAGTGTTAGACTTCTCTTTCAAACAGTTTTGATAACCCTTAGAGAAGGATGATTGGTCGATAACTTGAAGTAGAGGACGGATCCCTCCCAGGTTTCCGAATGGGTATGGCTTTAGATGACTTCCAACACGAGGGGAAGTAGCCACGTCGGAGAAACAGATTAAAAATCAGTACCAGATGGTTTTAGAATCTGGAATTCAAGTGTTTGAGTTCCATATTCAGGATGTTTTCGAAACCTGGGGCCTTCAATGGAGTCGACACAGTGTTGGAACTAATCCCAACTGACAAGATGGTAGTTGCGTAGGGAAGCTTGGAATCG